TCATCTGGGGTTGGACCCAACCAAACATTATGATCGATCTCCGAGGCTTTGGTCATGGCACACATCTCCACTCTCTCTTGATGAAAGAAATCCATGACTTCCCCAGTCCATCTAGCTCGAGAATCCACCGAGACGATTTGGGGATACTTTTCCTCGAATTCACTGAACGCACTAGTGCATATAAATGTATTGTATTGAGATATTTCATGTCCTTGATTGAAATGAGTCTCGCGAACAGCTTGTTGTGCAGCAGCAATTTCCCTCGCCAGTCTCTCGACATTGCGAGGATCCTCTCCATAAACAATGATGTCTGATACCATGGCAGATTTCGCGGCTTGTATTTGAAAGTTTCGAACCGAAAATCCTTCTTTGGGATCGACTTCTTGAAATTCGGTCGTGAGTCCAAACTTCAAGAATTCATCAGGAGTAATTGCACCTTTCAGTCTCGAGGAAGTCAAATCTCCATCGGCCTTGACAATTGTTATACCTCGAATACATCTCGGTGTTCTTCGCAAGGTTCGCCGCCGTGCTATAAAGAAAGCTTGTTGGATATGATTGGAGGGATGTAGACCATGAAACCACGGAAAGACTTGAGAAGGATCAGGTAGAGGTTGACCAGCTAAATGTTCCAAAGCAGTCGCTACACCCGCTGCGTCAATCTCATATATTATGGAAGATTCAACATATCGTGAATTATAATTGACGGGCGGATATAGGATTGATGGTTGGGACAAAGAAAGTTCTTTGGTTGGTGGGGAGTTGGGAGGGGTATCTGGTTTCTCGGACGGAGTGGGACCTGGTGGGCATACTGGTAGATGTTTATTGGGAATGGGAATTGGGAAGGCCGACGATGAATTGATGGAATCCAGGCTTAGCGTGGGAGTTAAAGGGTGTGAGTGGGGTGGTGAAGAAGATCTCGTGTGTCCTGCGGGAATGGGTCTTGGTAAAGCAATCGTAGCCATTATTGAATTGAAGCAATCTTGCAAGCGTGGAATGGTTAAATATTGTTTATGGTCGAGATTCAACATGTAAGAAAATAGTTGAAGGGAATGTTTGTAACCAGCACCACGATCCTGTAGCAAAAATGGAAATGTGTTGTCGAGGGAGGAATGTTGATATTTGATATTGGTGGGAAGTTTGTGTGATGGTTGTAATGCCACCGTCCAAGCCCAATCAATTGGTGAGAGGTAGATAATAATAAGGCTGTGGTGGGATTGTTGGTATGAGAGTGAGGGATTCGGGTTCGGAGCATCTATGATTTTATATGTGTCAGTAAATGAATGCGATGCAAACAAAGTTTCATGAATTTGAGAATTTGAGAATTTGATATACCTGACTGACTTCTCTTGAAAGGAAGTGGGAAATGTCACATCAATAAGTAATAAAAAAAACATATACACATACCCAAATGCTTGGTGGTTTCCCAAGCCAAAGTAAAATATGAGATATGAGACAACTATAACTTCCAGTCCGTCGAAGGATTAGGTAGGTGGATGTAGGTGTGGGTGTTGGGTGTGGGTGTGGGTGTGGGTGGGATGTAGGTGGAATGTGGGTGGATGTAAGTGAGTGAATGTAGGTGGATGCAGGTGGATGTAATAAGTGCATGTACGAAGTAGGTGGATGTAATAAGTAGTAAGGTGGTGGAAGGGAAGGTAGGAGGTAGGGGATAATTAGAGCAACGGCAGAGCAATTGGCAGAGGAAAGAATAATAATAATAGCCTTATCGTTAGACCCCAAGTTTCCAAAGCGGATAGATAAGCACGAAACAGTATCAATAGTCTGGGGACGAATAGTGCGGTACATTTATTATATGCCCTTGAACAAATCCTGTCAAGTACCAAACTCAATTTATATATGATTGGAGATTGAGTGTGTTGGATTGGATTGGATTGGATTGGATTGGATGGGATTGGATTGGATTGGATTGATTCGGTTTGGATTGATTCGGTTGGCATATTGGATGTTTGATTGGAGTGAATCGAGTGACTTGGGAATTGATGAGAAGTAATAGCAACAATAATAGTAATGGTAACAGTAATAGTAACTAGAAGATGCAATGCAGGACGGAGTGAAGAAAGAAAGACAAAGATCAAAGGAGAAGAAGGGTGTGGGAAATTATCGTTAGGTACTATACTCGTACTGTCTAGCAAGTATATCTCGATGATAACAGATCACAGACAACACACACAAAATCACTTCCACATACAACATCCCATATATGTAACTATATAACTATTCATCAAATCTTTCACTGAATCAATCCATTCATCGTCAATCACTTAATTTCCATCATTCTATCCCTCTATCTATTTCATCGCCGCCTTCCTTCTTTCCCTTCTTCATGCATACCCAAGTAGTAAGACTTGCATACTTACATTCAACCTGCATTGTCTTGCCTAGGTTCGAATAGCTCACAGCGTCCACTAATACCAACCCTTTCTCTTCCTTCAAACTTCAATCGACAATTCAAACAAGCAGAGAGACATGCATCTTTATCTCCATCATCTCCTCTTTCCCATCGATCCTCGTGGCTTTCTCCTTTCCACTTTCCACTTCTTCCTTCACTTGATACCTACTTCATACCCTCACCTCAAACTCTATTTCTATTCTTTCCATCAACCCTCTCCATCTCCATCTCCATCTCCATCTCCATCTCCATCTCCATCTCCATCTCCATCTCCATCTCCATCTCCATCTCCATCTTCATCTTCATCTTCATCTCTCATCCAATCTGGAGCTTGGATAAACGGTCTCTTGCATTCCCAATAAGCCATCTTTTCCATAGAGTCACATTTGATATCAAATTCCCCAATAATATTGTGTGGTGGCGTCTTTTCGCGTCTCAAGCAGCTGCAGCTAAATGACGATCAACCAATATATTTGAAGTTCAGACCTCCATCACGATGAAACTAGGAAAGGAAAGAGGACTAACAGAAGCAAGCAAAAGCTAAGGTTGGGCGGGAATGAAGGAACAGTTGGTCCAATGAACGGTAAAAAGTGGACATGTAATCCATTAAAGGTATAGATCGATTGAATGTGACAAGTTACAACCTTGAAGCCTTCTTTTGCTGCCTGCATTGAATATTCAAAGATAACTCATACCTCATAGAGTCACATACCGGTACCACACACACTACTCACACCATTCACATATCAGCTATACAGTTCGACACTTGACATACCGGTACCTGCCATAGTATCCATACTTCATTGTCAATTTGTGCGTTTCTATTGTGTATGCCAAATCTCAATTCTTTATCTGATTTATCATCATCATTGTACATTCTCTTAATGGGGGTAAACCCCCAAACCCCCGTCCTTGCTGCGCTCGAGTTTCGTCGATTCGTCAATCGGCTTGCAGTGAAATGAGGAGTAACCATATAATGCTCTTCTATCTGTTAGAGCGAACCGAAGAAGCCCCCACGGCAGTGGCCCAGCGGAGCGACAATTACTATTTTAACTTACGTGTGTATGGATGTACCTAGGAGGCTAGTTTCGAATACTCACGTACAGCTTCATCGTAAGATTCACTTCAAGAAAAGATTCATCATTCCTTCTCTACACACAATCGACGATAGAAGAAGATCAGAATCATTATTGGACCATCACCATTAATCATTGATCAATCATCGTACACTTGTTGCTAAGGTCTCACACACCTCACACCTCCGAGACCCCTCCCCCTCTATGACATCGGTCTTACCGTACCGAGCTGTACCTCATAAGTTCAAAGTGTTGAGCGCTGGGGGGCTCGGGGGGGGAACATTGAGTCCTTGAATGAGAATGAGCAGTGGTCAGTGAGCACTCCACTATTGATACTGGACTAGCTTGCTCGCTCGCTCGCTCAAGACGGGTTCGAATTTATCTGTGCTTTTGCTGCATAACAACTTCATCGGCTCCACAGTGTCCACACCCACCTTCTGTCTTTTGAAGATATTGACACATTTTTTAAAAGACCATGAGTGTTCGAAAAATGTTGAGAGTTCTATCTATCTCCTGACTTCTAGTTGTAGTCACCTGCTCCAGATTCAAAACTTGACAATAAACATTTTGGCATACCGAGTATCGTTTAAACTAATCCAATCCTTCTTTTTATCTCCTCTACTACTTTCCTCTCCTTTGTTTACTCCATGACAAATTTATCCAAATATTATTATACTAGTGTATGCAATATATGCATCTTAGGTAACCTCAAGTCAAGCTGACCAGGTAACTATGTTGCAATCTCATAACCTAAAGAAGGTCGAGATCATTCTTCGTGCATGGAACTTATCCCACACAAAGTCTAGACTCCAACAATTAACCACACTCAACTTCCTCAATCTCTATCAATCTCTATCAATCTTCCTCGACGCTAATCTACCACCTGTCCTTTTCCAAATCTGTATACATTTCGATTCTTAGTGACGGGCAGCCCTCGGCGACTGAAGGCCCTCCGATGATGAATACACACAATCCATCTCATGAACGTTTCGGGACCCCACTTGCAATTACAGCCGCACGTGATATTTTGATGGCTGGATCAATTTGAATCAAAAGACAGTTAAAAACTGTGCAGGGTATGGGATAAGAGTTCACTCTATATCATCAATGGAAGTCTGTCCCGCCTTGAGCTTTTTGTTATATATAACCAATGATAATACTTTACTAAGCTTCACTAAGCTTCACTACCCAACTTCAAAATATGATATCGTTTCGAACAATCAAGATCAAATCAACCCCGAACGACTTTTCAGACCGCTGATATCCCAGAAGTTGATTAGTGTGGTAGGTTCGTCCCAACTCAAGACAAAAGGCTAGCTTTAGACGGAATATATGTGTTAGGGTCACATTTCTTTGTTCACAATCAGAAGGGGCCCATCTTCCTTTGTCTTTCCGTTGTTGTGCGGTGCAGAATTGAAGAACAAATGATATTTTACCTTCTGTTATTTGTATTTGCGAGTGATCTACTACGAACTATTAGTCAATTTCAGTAATTGCACGTCACAGCGGTACAAACCATGGATCCATTACCACCAAAAGGAACTCACATAAGAGTTTCAGGACCTTCGCCCTTTGCTAGAAAGTATGGACATCCCAAAGGAGGCATTCATTCTGTGCTGAAAAGCTACCTGCCTCAATTGAAAAGCGGCCTCACACCAGTAACTCCGGCACAATTCTTAAAACCCCAAGATCAATTGGATCTTGATCAAGGTCTTGAATTGTATCAAAGAATTAGGTTCTCGGGTAGGCTTTCCTCAATGATATTTTACTTGACGATTAACGCTGTTCAAAGGTTTTACCGCAGCAGAGTTGAAATCAGTTCTAGCTTTGCCAGATTCTCAGGAAACTATAAGTCGAAGGATAACCTATGGAAGTGATCTTGGAAAAGTCCCGATTCATCCATTGTTGGAAAGAAGCAATTGGCTATATGAGTTTCCGCAAAATCTGGCTAGGTATCCATTGGGAGATGGTAATGAATATTGGGAGGCAAGTAATCCGCCATATCGAAATATTTAATTGAGACTTACTAAGAAAATCAGGCCAAGAATGATGCGTGAGCATACTCTATCTTTGAACTCACCCTTACTAAAACACCGACATCCAGCGTGTGGAATGCAATGTTACCGGCCATTAAAATTGTATCAAACATTATTGCTAACATGCATACGTGGGACTGGTATGCTTCCCAATCATGACGATTCGTTTCCATTTCGCTAACGGCAAAGGTTCAATGCGTTACTGAAGGGTCCACTGGTAGAGGTTCCAGCAACCGAGCTTCCACCCAACTTTGACCGTCATGTAATGCGATTCAATTCCATGGAGAACAGAAAAGACAAGGAACTTGCATCTTACGCTATAGAGCTATTGGGGAAAATGTCAAAGCAGGTCAATTATGCATTGGTAGGAGCCAAAGTATGTATTCAGCCCAGTGAACTCTACTTCTCCATTTCAGATCTCAGTCTTTCAATTCCTTACTGCATATCGCTCTTTACAGGCACATTTGTGACTCTTGTTTTCCCTCCAAAAATTACTTCCTCATGAGACGATTACTGAAACTTGCGTCTCGTGTAAGAGCACTCCCGACGGAATGGCTGAACTAGGTAATTTTCAAGCCGGCTTGACCAGATGGTCCCCACGTCGAGGTAAATCAAGCAGTCCGCCCGAACCTCGAGCTACACTTGTTACCATCGCCTATGAATTGGTCGAGCCGTTGCTGAACCCTCTTCTCCTACCAGAGGACAGAGCCTTGGACGATTTTCGCTTGGCAGAAGATATTCTTCACGAGACTGCGGTGAGTTGCACTCGAATTTCGTATTGAATTACCATTGATCGAAGCAGCATGCTATGGGCCATCAAATGGTCAGAATGAACAAAGAACTTGAGGATTGGGGCTGGGCCGAGCCTTACTTTGACAATGAGCCTATACCAGAATTGCAAGTCAAGCAGCATTCTTTTTGCCGGAGAAGCTAACGAATACACAGGGGATTCTCCGCGACAAATCAGGTATGTCTATGAGTCTAAATCCTTCTTAGGATTTTCACATTAGTTCTTGTTAAACCATTTTTCTAAGGTTTTTGGTGGCATCTCACTCTCGGTTATTAATCCTGTGGATACTGCGGGATACTCCTCCGGAGGCATGATCCTGTGAGCAACTTTTATGTTCCCATATCATTCCGCATCGCCTCAATCTGATATCAATGTTAGCTATAATTGGCCTACGTACAGACATGAGTTTTACACAGCTACTATGCCCGTGCTGGCTCCGGAAAAGCAAAAGAATTGGGAAAACATAATGTACTATCCCATTCCTGTCTCTTATTTTATGAGCCTCGAGTGTGAAGAATTTTGGGACGTTTACGTGAGGAAGTAAGTTTGATTGTCTAAAATTTGCTCAAGGATAGTCTGGAAATGTGGTCATTTATCTAAGTCATAATCACACAGATTTGGCTCAAAGGCAACTCAAGCGGGTCCCAAGATAATAGGTGTTATTCGACGAAGAGGTGAGACTGCGGCTGCTCTTAGACATACTACGGATACTCCGGGGCGTGAGAAAAAGGCGCCAGGAGTTTTTTCCAGAAAAAAGACTAAAGTCACCTATTCGTTTGAGGCCGAAAAAAGAAGATTGACCTTGATAATCAAGGAAGCATCGAAAAATGTCCACCCAAAGGTCTTATCACCAAGGCTTCCTACTGGGGAACATGGGTTTCAGCCCATCGTCGGTCGTGCCGATAGAGCTGATGCTGTCGAAATAGATTTCCCCAGGTATGATGAGGTCAGAATGTATCTAGAGAGAAACAAGTTCGCACTTGCTATACACACATTTCAGTATCAATTGCCTGCGCATTTGGTCAGATGCTATATTCTTCGTCACGGTGGAATTGAACTTACGAATGGGGAATGGAAAACATTTCTACTTGTGGCGAACACGAAAGATGAACTCTTTTAGTAGGATATCCGATTGTTTCCAGCCAGTTTTTGATACGTTTGCTAATCGAAATTAGCTATTCTCTTGCCGGGTATGGCGTCGTTCAAGTCAACTATAAAGGCTGGATGGATCCCACACCACCACAGCAAACAGAAATGAAAGTACCTCCGCAGCCCGACCAACAACTCACAGAAATATTTGATTTCATCTGTCGACGAAATCTAAAAGATGTAGATCCACACGAAGAGTCTAGAGATATCGACGGTTATCTTTTGATGTACGACTCGAATCTAATATGGAAATCAGAAAAATGCAAAGGTACAAGAACAGCACTCCTAGAGCATCCTGACATGCCAAACGGTTTTACCGATGACGAAGCGGGCGAGGAAATCTTCATGGCGTGTGTGTGGCATTCGCCATACTTTGCAGATGCGCCTTATCGTCAGGGAATTGCAAGAAGAGCAAGTCTTGATGCCCCCGGGATTGGCCCTTATATAGCTCCGCCACTGAAAAATATTCATCAAAATCTGACTAAGGGAGATCCGATGAGATTGGGTATCGGAGATTTCCTTGGGGAGGATGCGGATGAAATGTCTATGCGATGAAGGTCATGGCGTATCGCTGAGACCGAAATGAGAGGGTTTGGTAGGGGCAGTTATAGGGTTGTAGGTCGTATATAGGTTCAGGTTTGGATGATAGTAGTCTATCTCCTTTTCATTTAGTGAGGTTGGTATCTGAGTTGGGGGTACGATATCCTCTATCTAAGAACAATTTGAATGATTGGGATGGGGAGAGGCGTTTCAATTATCGCTTATATGGTATGGAAAAAGAAGGCGGGTAAAAGAGTTTCTAAATCAAAGCGCGGGCTTAGACTATGCCTTTGTTTATATTTATACGGTATAAAATCTCGTTCTCAAATGCTCAAGATTATCCTTATATCGCTGAGGTCAAGTCTCTGGATTTATAACACGTGGCTGGATATATATGCAGTGAACATATGCAATGCGGTAAATAAAAATAATATCGAATCAATATACCAGATCGCCTAAAAACAAAACGATCACGCTCATTGCACAACCTATATCCTCTGAACCCCTTATTTCTTGATGAGGTATCCAAATACCCCTCCTCCTTCCCTCTCTCGCTTCCCCCCAAAATACAAAAACTGGGATGTAGTCGTAAATTCGGACAAACGGATAAGGGGTGCGATTACTGGGTTGACTTTGGGAGATGTGCTGGGATGGTTATGTAAACTAAGTAATTGAGTATGTATGTGGTAAGTGGGAGGGAAATAGATAGATGGATGGATGGATGGTAGGTGAGAGAAGAAAATATGTGTCGATGTTTGTTAAGTTGAGGAATTGAGATTATACATCCAGTAGGTACATGCAGTGGATTGAGAGGGAGTGAGATGGGAGGATGCCGTGTTTAAATCATGATATCCTTGTGATTTTGATTTTGATTTTGATCCCGAGCAGCTTCAAGGGAGGTCAAGATGAAGGGGTTTTTTGGGTAGGTGGTAAAGTAATATTAGATGGATTGAGTGATAGTAGGTATGTAGGTAAGTGTGAAGTATAAAATGAAAAAGATGATACTAGGAACCTCGCATTCGCGTATTGTTCACAAGTCATAATCTTTTTCATTATTCTTCAATCTCGCTAACCCAAGAGATGAGATCATGAGTTTATAGGCATATTACTCACTTGAACATTCCATCTAGGGGATTATATAACCATAGCCTGTACTCCCTTCGCCGTCGCATCCTCCTCATTTTCAAATTCCGCCTCGCTCTCCTCATCCAGGTCCTCTAATGGATACGTCAATATCGCCGCAATGCCACCTAATCCCTCTAACCTCTTTCCACTTTCATGATCACTACTCAAAACTCTCGCTTCCCCTCCATCGTTTTTAACTTTGTCTACCACTTGGACCCATCTCTTCCTAACCCCTATTTCCTGACTTCGAAATAATTCGTTATTTATTAATAAAACACCACCGCCTGCTCCTACCGCACCCTGCTCAACTGCTTTCTCCACTTCAGCCGGTCCATACCATGCTCTACCGTCATCTTTCCGAAGCATCGTCATAAATTCATCCATAAAGCGTGTTTCGCGGGCATATTTTGTATTGCTGAGTTTAGCCAATACTTCTGGGCTCGTGAGGATTTCGTTGAGACTGTGAAGATGGCCCGAACTGCTGTGTACCACGACGAAATTATTCTTATTGGCTAATACGGCTTTATTTCCGGTCCTGCTTGCTTCCTCCAGTATGAATTTCTGAAAGCCCTGTGCGACGAATCCGGGACTTGCGAGTAATAATGGGCGTTGTTGAGTAATATCTACATATCTCAGGAGTGTTTCGAGTACCGTCTGGTAAAAGCGTTTCATTCCACTATCGAAATCTCCCGCCATCCCGGCCCTCTTTTTCGGTATCCTGGTTTCGATTCTCTGCTTTAAAATGGTTTGATGTTCGGTGATTAAACATATATTGGCCATTCCCTCTTGCATCACGATCGCAGGGACCACGCCCTCTCTGTCCTCTCGAATAGCTTCTTTCACAACATCTAGCGCAACGGAATCCCAACCGTCGATTTTGGCGATTGTAAATTTGCGATTCAGTTCCAGATCGAGAGTGTGATATGCGCCGACCTTGACGTATAAGTTCTCTTCACTTATGCGACCTTTGACGTGTAATTGACCGGCTTGCGGATCAAAATCTAAGGACTCTACGCTGATGGATAGGGTACAGTGTGTGCGGGTGGTGGTTACGCTTCCGGTGGCTGTTTCTCTGCTGATCTTGCGGAGGGCGCTGGCGCGTAGGATGTCGGTGGGGGTTATGAGGTTGTAGGCATGCCACTGAGATATCTTAGAATTTTCAGGTTGAGAGGGAGAGGTATGAGAAGACGAACCATATCTTCTGGTTCTTCTGGCATGAGAGTGATGGTTCCAGAGCCATCACGCTCGATATGTTGTTCAAGAAGGCGCATAACTTTTTCGTTTCTGCAGATGCGATTTATTTTTGTGGGATTTATTTGAATAAAGTATTATATGCAGGACTTTCCAAAAGTATTATGGTTCCTCTCAAGTAGTTTGTGTGTTGTGAAATTTGCAGGATATTATGTCGCAAAGTTGGAAGGAATCCAATTTACAGAACTTGGAGAAAAAAATATGATGATGATTTCACTATGGGCTAAATGATGGCGGGGTATCTAGTGTGCAGTTGGTGTCGTACTAGATTTTAGTCTACAGGTCTATTAAGGGTTTTAGAAGATATGTATGTATGTATGTATGTATGTATATATAACGTTATATGTATATATATATGTATGTATGTATGTAGGTAGACTTTCACCAATTTCGATATCATCGTAAACAGCACGATGCTTATGTAAGCTTGGGTCTGCTCACGTGCTGCCATACATACATGACAGCTTTTAGAAAAACCTCGACGACCACCATGTTTGGGTGGTGTTGCAGCTAGAATCAATTTATAAGACTTATGATCAGTATCTAGTATGTAAAAAGACACAAAGTTGAAGAAGAGATCATCACGTGTAATCAAGCTGCTTCTCTCTAATATGTATCTCAATATACCTACCTACCGCTCTAGAGCGAAGCGAAGAAGCCTCCACGGCAGTGGCCAAGCGGAGCGTCATATATCGATACGTTTATACCAAACCAATGAATACCACCGTACATAGAATACTCCATGTCATACTTTAAATATCTTAATACCTATTCATTGATGCCTTACTCTGCAATTATCAATCTGTCACGTGTCTGTCATTCCTCATCGTCGGACTCGGAGTTAAGCAAAGGCAAAGACATTTAGAATCGAGAGCTGGAGGTTAACCTACAGCGGAGTTACATCAATCACATCAATTGGCTATTTAGGTAGGCCTACTTCTCTTCCTTATTTTGTTTTTCACTTGGGTCCTTTACATCATGAAATCTTCTTTAACATCACGTCTCACTCTCTCAAGAAATCAATTCAACCCATCGGTCCAAGCTACTTATTCTTCGAGATCGTTTACAGCTTCTTCAAAAAAGTACGTACTACGTGATGAGTATCTTACTTGATACATCCTCTCTTTGTTACCTTGCATCGAATGTGTTTTCCAATCCAGGATGTTTGGATATACTTAGGTACCATTAAATTGTGTTCCTCTTAAACTCTGGATATGTTTCTCATCGGTCACTGCCATTCTGGGTTCTGTCACAATCTTTCTATATCGTTCATCATCCTTTTGGGCTTTGAAACTAACTTATATTTCAGCAACAATATGACGAAATTTGATATTAATTCAAAGCTTCGTATGAACTCGGGATATGATATTCCTATTCTAGGCTATGGAGTTTACCAAACGTACGGGGATGCCACCATCGAAAAGCATGGGTTACACTAATACCTAATGTAGTCCAGCATCTCAATGTGAAGATCTAGTGACCAAAGCTTTTGATGCGGGTTATCGACATGTAAGAACAATTCCAAGGAAAGGGGCTTCTGGTACTCCTCTAACTTAGCATAGGTCGATTCGGCTGCGGCATATCGAAATGAAGGTCCTTGCGCCGTTGCTGTCCATAAATCCAGCATTCCACGTGAAGACATCTTCTTCACTAGTAAAATTCCACCTCGTGCGTTGAGCTATGAGAATACCAAAGCCCAAGTTACCAAAACTCTTATGGAAACTGGCCTTGAATACATTGATCTTATGCTCATTCATGCCCCTTATGGCGGGCGAGCTGCTCGTAAAGGTGCTTGGAAAGCTCTAGTTGAGGCTCAAGAAGAAGGGAAAATTCGCAGTCTTGGCGTCAGCAATTATGGTGTTCATCATCTGGATGAAATGGAAGTTTATATTAAAGAACTCGAGGAGGAAAGGGGGAAGGGTAGAGGTGGCGTTATTGATGTCGGTCAATGGGAACTTCATCCAGTAAGTTATCTTAATCGCTCTTCTCAATCCCCTCTATTTGTCTTTTTCGGTACACAACTATACAATCAAGGATTGAAACTTAGGCCAGATCTTCTTGAGATACCTTTCTCGTGGTTCCATAGTTTGTTTTCTTTCCCAATTGCTCCTCAATGCCTTCGCATGGATATCAGTGTTGTTTCTTCAGATATAAGGCAAGGCTAACCTTGAAGAAGTGGCTTGCTCGAGCTGATATTGTTTCGTGGTGTGAGAAGCGAGGCATCATTTTAGAAGCATACTCCCCTCTTGTTCGTGGCGAGAGGCATGACTCCAAACTGCTTCAGCCACTCACTAAGAAGTACAACAAAACCTCAGCCCAAATCTTGCTGAGATGGAGTTTACAAAAGGGCTTTGTACCCTTGCCAAAAACTGTTACCCAAAGCAGAATCAAGGAAAATGCCGGCATTTATGATTTCGAGCTCACGGCCGAGGAGATGAATGGGCTGGAAACCGGGGACTATTATGTTTGTGCTTGGGATCCTACTATTGCTACTCTTGATCAATAGATGCAGCAGTAGTTTGAAAAGTCATTAGGGATCTTGTAAACTGAAGATGATATGCGTTGGAGTTATCCAATTTTCAGCGTACAAATCAAACATTGTTAGCTGAGATTCGTCCAATGAACGCTCCTGTCATCTATAAAAATGATTCATCCGTATCTGAAAGGTGCATTTAATGGGCCATGTTTTTTTAACATGATGCAACGAACAAATGAATACACTCGCTTGGGTAGTTCTCAGCCAAATTAAAGCTTCATGACATAACGTATTCCAATGTCGACACATAACACTACATAATATCAATCTAGCGTCCCCATGACCTTCATGTTCTTGAGAAGATCAAGAAGGTCGATGCAATTAGATGGAGAAGTCACATCAGTTTCCATCTTAGTCTTGAGTGTTATCGCGGTTACATTTGAAGCAGAACGCTCAAAACCCAACTCCGGGTAGTAAAAGCATCGAACTATTGCTAGGTAGAGTATATAAGTACTATCCCGTCTTACGATCACCCTGTACACACCAGTAAGCATGAATCTGCCTACCTTCCCCGTTTCAGATAATTATGTCAAGATCCGAGTCTAGGAGGTATCAACCGAACAGAGCCTCTTGGTAGGTCAATCGATAGGTCAATTTGCTCATCCACACCCATGTTTATTTTCGCTTGAAATTTTGTTTTCACGTAGTATTTGCAGCTCAAGATTCTAACTACACGTTACAAACTCACCACTCGTCTATCACAGCTTCTGGCTCTTCGATCCTGCCCCCCAAATTACCATCCTTATCATTTTTCGGAGTTGATTAACCTATTTACAATGATCGGGTAGTATCAGCGCTGTGTTTGAAAGTAAGCTGAAACATGTTGAGAATTTCTCAACGATGAGATTGCTGCAGTGAAGAATTTTAATTGCATGGGACACAGCCCACAGCATTGCAGGATGAAGAGATCAAGTCCATAATCATGAATTTCAGTATCTATATCAAAGTCTGTTCCAAGCGGAAATTTATTATATTTCCATTCCGATCTTTGATTACTTCTCTGGTTACTTTCTTTCTTGGCTGTTATCAGCTGTACTGCTCGTGTTCACTATAGAGACTTTATGTCTTTTCCCAAGAGAGTTTTTCTATAGAATGCGTTTCGTAGCTTCATTGTTCACGGCTGCGTGTATCCTGGCGATTGGAAATGCAGCATCCAAAACTGCAGCTGCTTCTTCTAGTCAGACTGCTCAACGAACACACAAGCGATCCTCTAACCCAACTAGATCAACGACATTTGCTCCAACTGGCTTCACAAATACGTCATCGGGAGCATGTGCAAGTGTTTCAGCAATGATCCACCGATCTCCAGGTAGATCATATTTTGTTGACCGTGAACGCAAGTCTTTCAGATATTTCTATAGATGAACCTATCGTTGCAGCATCGACCGCTTTTTAGATTGCCTCAAGTCCATTCCATTGAATGTCAATAGATCCATTTCATTCATTGAATTCTTCGCACCTTATTTAGAATTTCAAAGTACACTGGCCGTTGTCCAAATAACCGGCCAAGATGCAAACGCATTTCTACAGAAGACTGGTCAAAGTCTTAGCAATTTCAACAATCCAGATGCCACCTATAATCAGCTGTTTTTCTCTCCAGCCTTCAATGTCTTAGGCGGTGGTAATGTATTCAATGTTCATCAAATGTTGGGATTCACATCCGACTTCTACAACTATACATTCGAAAATGGTATCACGAGGTTGGTCGAGAATGTTGCCGAAGCGCTAATCTCCTTTGATGGCATTGATTCAGGCCAAACTTTGTTTAATGCCCTTAACCCATAGCCATCCACTACAACCGAGTCTGCTGCCGCCTCTGCTACTTCCTCCGTCCGCATAACTACCGCCACCTCTCTCGTTGGCTATCCCACTTCCGAAGTCATTCACCGAGATGGCTATCGGAAATCATTCACCGAGATGGCTACGTATCCGGTTACTTCCTACCCAATAGCAATGTCGCAGTTCTCGTCACGCAAGGTTTTATTGATCCCAAGAAATAGACGCCGATGCACCACTTCTTCAATCGGAAGTCGTAGTTTCTTTCCTCTCCTCTTGTCGTAAACACAATAAGACGAAATTGGTAGTCGATGTGCAAGCTAACGGCGGAGCAGCAGTATTAGAAGGCTATGATACTTTTCAAAGAATATTTCCTAGCTTAGAACCTTTCGGTGCATGTAGGATGAGAAGCACGGAAGTAAGGAAGTTTCTGGGGAGAATGTTTACGGAAGGTTTAGAGATTGAGGGAGTGCCGGATGCGAATTATGAGTTCGAGGCGCAGACTTATATGGATGTTGTGAGATTCTATAATAAGTATACTAAATCACTTATTAATATCTTACTAATTAAGCTATATATGAATTAATAATATATGTATAATATAATTTTATATCATAGAATTATATTATTATATTATAATATAGCTATATCTCTTATCAAATTGATTTATAATGAAATAGAATGAGATGGAATTATATAGAAGATTGTTAATAAATTGATTAAATTGATTGATTATATTTTTCTTTTATAATATAAAATGATTCTATAAGATTCGATTTAAATCGATTTGATTTATAAGTATAAAAACTATTAGAATTTCATTATAAATTATATAAACTTAGGATATTCTTTAAAGAAAACCTAGAAAAAGCAAGCAAATTTAACTTAATCAAGCTCTTTCTTATAATTTGTTTTCAATTCAATTCTTATATTATATTCGATTTGTCCTTCAAGTTAAAGTGATTAAGTCTTCCACTATTACTAGAATATTATTATTATTATATTCTAGAAATTACCTCCAACAGATGTCAATGACAAACCATTTCGAATTGGAGGTAGGTGTCTCCGAGTGAGATACCTGGATGGGGGACTACTTGCATTTATATCAAACTAAACATACATGCAACCACAGTGCGCTTAATCCACCAGATACAATCTACAATGATACCTTTACCGCACCAAAACGATTCGTTTCAGAGTATTTCACAAGCGAGATACCACGAAATGGCTCGCTCGCATTGGGATCACAGGTTTTTGAAAGCAAGAATATCGTTTTGCTATATGATGGATGATATGGCTCTACTTGCGCTGTATTTTCGGCATTTATGAAAAGTCAGGGTGGTGTTAGAAGTGGTATGTAATGAGCTTTCATCATAAATGTTATTTTTGAATTGCATCTCAATACTTTGTCATGGGTATCAGAAAGTGCTAACATACCAATCACTGCAGTTGTTATGTGCGGGCGTCCTCAAACTGGACCTGTGCAAGGAGTAGCCGGATCTAAAGGGTTCGTTTTTCTCTTCTCTTCTCGCCACTCTACGTCCAACATCATTCCAACTAACTCTTCTATCCGCAGATCCGAAGTTCTCACATTCAGCCAAATCGACAGCTACCTTACACAAATTCCCCAAACAATATCCAATATATCCCTCAATGCGCTTCCCATTCCCTCCACACCACCCACTGCCTCCATTCCGCTCCCTATGGTGGCAGATTCCGTACTTAACGAAGCATCCACTTCGTGAATGTAATAAAATATTCAATACTTTAATACTATATTGAATAAATCGGTTTTACTCTATTAATCTAATTAAGCTTTTTATCGTATATAACAAAACTTATTCTAATCAATAAGGTCTTGATGAATTTCTTAAATTTTGAAAGTTTTATTGAAACTTTAACCTAAAATAACAATTTGATATACAAAATGTTTCTAGATTTTATCTGTTTTTCGATCCCCTTTTTCCTTTCCCCTTTCCCTTTTAAAGTCTTTCTTTTAAATCTATATAAAAATCATACCTAATTTTATATCTTAAATAAATAATAGAGCTACTTATTTACTAATATAATATAAAGCTTTTAATAATCAATAGTAATATAACATACAATAAAAAGATTTTCGAGATAAATTCGAATTCTTATTTAAATTTAGTTATAGTAGTAGTAGTAGTAGTAAATTCTTAATTAATTCGATCTATATAGCTATGCTAAAATCATATAATACATCTATATCTAGTTCTAATTGAATGAAGTAAATAGAAAAAAGAATAAAAACCTATTCTCTTTCGAACTTTTTTAATAAGATTCTTGAATAATTTTTCGAGTAATTCTTTCAAGTCCTTTAAATTACTTATATTATATATCTGTCTTATTTAATAACCTTTCATTTGTAAATCTTTCAATATACCTATAAAAACCCTATACTTTCTACTCTATTATAATAATCCCTCTTTATTTATTCAACTCTTTTTAAAATATTATAAACGTTATAATTAATTATATTATTATATCCCTCTTATAAAGTTATCTTTACCCTATAGTTCTTTAAATTTTTACGAAGAATTATTATTCTATTATAATCCCTAGTCTATTATATATAAGCCTTATATTCACCTTCTCTTAATATATATTAATGATATATAATTTCTTCTTAAAGCTTATTATCTCCTATTCCCTTTTATTTTACTAATACAATTCTACTAATAGGGAAAAACTCAATCCTGTATTATAGAACAAAATGATTATATGATTGATATCAACTTATATTCGGTATATTAAAATCTAAATAGGATCAAAATAGTAGATATAATAATATTGGAATGTTATCACTTTTTAATAATATACGCTCTATATTGAAGGGTTATTATTTCTTTAATTATAATTGGTAATATATTGTATACTATATAAGATAGTAATATCGAAATCAGTATTTCACAATAATATTATATACTAATATGAAGCACTATACATCTAATTCAATTAAGTATATTATAAATGTTTTCGAAAGGTTTGGTTTTTCTTTTTTCTATATAGAATAGTTATAAGTATACTAATAGAATATCAAATACTATATTAATATATTTCTTATAAAATGTTTCTTGAAAAAACATATCACGGTGCAAGGAATAAGTACTAGGTAAGATATATAATATTCTATAAAGAATAAAGAAGGAGGTGGAGAAATATTGACTATATAAAGAATAGATGTTTTAAGTATTTATATAATTATATATTGAACCTATAACAATACTCCTTTTTAAGGATTTGTTTGTCCTAAGTAAACTAAATTTATTATATAGTTTGTTATTATATATAAATTAAATGAATAATTAAATTCATTGAATTAATAGTTTAAATACTTTATATTAATTTGATTTTTCTTTTATAAATTGATCTTTAAGTTTTCTATATTTTCTTTAAATGTTTTAGTATAAATAATAAGATTGCCTTACTTTTAAAGTTATTTAATATTTATTTTAATAGGCCGAGCTTTTTAGAATATATATAATAATACTTTATTAATAATTTTTCATTCTTTTTCAAGTTTGTTATTGATTGTTAAATAAGAATATAATACTTTCATTTAATTAGATAATAATGATTATTTATAACTTCTTTAAAGATTTATTTTTATACTAACTCATTTTTGTTGTTTTTTCTTTTAAGAATTCTATCTTTAATAATAATTAATTCTAATTCATTAATTATAATCTATACTAGGAAATATATTCTATTAATTATAAAAATGAATAATGAATAATAAAAAACAGAAAATATTTGAATATTATTTAATAATTGAATAAGATAGAAATAAAAATAAATCTTTATAATCTTATATAGCCCTATCTATCAATTATTTAATTTCTTTACTTTTCAAAAAGTTTTTATATTTTTAGTATTTACAAATATCTTCTAGCCTATATAATAATATAATGAATTAATACAATACTAATTTATGTTTTCTTTATATATTATAATTATTTATTTAATGAGAACTTGTAATTATAATAGAATTCTTTTCATTCTATTTATTGTCTTATTGTCCTTAAAAAACTCCTGTTTCTATACTATAATCATATCTAACGAATAAGATTTACTAGGCTTCACACCAATATATGAATTAAATCTATAATTAGTAAAGAATAGTAAACAGCTAATAGTTTCTGAAGTTATATTATTTAATGTAAATTCAGTAAGAGGCAATCATTATATTTAATCATCCTAATGAAAATTCATAAAGGCTTATAAATATTACTTAAAAACAGAATTTATTCGTTTTATTTATTCATTTATTTATAAATAAAATGTTGAAGAATATTAAAAAGTTATAGCTAATTATTTAGCTAATTAAGATTAAAAATTGAATACGAATTGTATACTATAATTAAAGATGATATTATTTAATAGATTATATAAGGTATAGATATAATTAATAAAGATATTAGTAAGCTCTTCTATTATAAATGTTTTAATTTTTATAAAGTGTTTTATTTTAATTAATTAATATATGACAATTAGAATATATTTGTATGTAAAATTGTAATATATATAATCTAAAAGCGATATAATATAATTTATTGATATATTAGATCAGGCTTAAAAGAGAATTGATAATAAACATAGGAATTTGAGTAGGGCTGATCTTGATAACTTTGTATATGTATAAAGATCATATACTTATATATATAAAACAATCTTCTAGTATATTTGTAGTTATTAATATATATAAAAAACAAAGTTGATTATTTTAGTTCAATCTGAATACTTAATTGGGCTAAATAAGTACATTCTATAAATAATTTGTACTTTTAATTTATTATTTAATAAAATCTATAATCTCTTTCAATAATATATTTTATTATTTATTATATAGTAGTTTTATATAATAATTCGAAGTATTTTTCTGAATTCTATTGATTATTTGTATACATACTGATCCTTGATTACTATAATAAGTTGATGAGTCATATCTAATCTTCTATAGGTATTATTAATTAATTTATTGATTAATTTATTTTCTATAGGTATTATAAGGTTTATTAATACTAAGTAGATACTAGTTTTTAGTTCATTATAAAGGTTAATATCGAATTTATCTGCTAGTAAAATTATGTATTCTTTATTCTTTAAACATTTGTTATCTTTAATTGTAAAGTTTAGTTTATTCTTTTTTTTCTAGTTTAAAGTATTTAATTGAATAGTTTAAACTCTGGTTAATAAATTATACGAAAACTATAATAAAAAAAGAATTTAGATTAGTAGATTTATTATTAATTCAAAGTCTTTGTTATAGTAAAATATTCTAGATTCTTATAATTAATAAAAATCTTAAATTCCTATTATGAATCTTAAAGCTTTAATTATCATTCCTTTATAGATTTAATAATTGTAAAAAGCTTTTTATTATAAATCTCATAATTATATTCTACTACAAAATACTTTACTGAAAAATAAGTTATTGATTATAAAAGACTATTGGAATTATATTGAAAAAGTACTTCCTCTAATACTCAATTTAAAACATCTATTTCCAGGATTGTCCACTTATTATAATCAAAATATATAAGAATTAGTACTGTTATAAATATATCCTTAAGTATAATAAAAGCATTTTTATATAATATATCCCAAAACCAATCAATATCTTTTTATAATAAATTATAAAAAGACTAGTAAATCCTTAAAAGGTTCTTTATAAATTGTTAATAAAAATTAACAAATCTTAAAAAGTATTACAGATCTTTTACTAAAAGTAGTTATTCTTAAAATATAATTATAATAACTTTTTCAGAATCTATTTATATACCTTTAATTATAATTATCAATCCCAAATAACAAATAGAAATAGTTTCGAATTTGTACTTATTTATATTAATCTATAGCCTAGTATCTACCAACTTTTATATTATAGTTCGAATATGCTCCGTATACTTTAATTTATTTATTGAATATATAAGAATATTATTTAAATATACTATATAATATTTATTTAGTTCATTAAATAGAATATAATTGATATAATATTGAAATAATACTAGTGTATTATAAAGATTAAAGGGTATAATAAGTAACTTAAAAAAACTAAAACGGATAATAAAAGCTATCTTTTATTTATCATTTTCTATAATACAGAGTTTATTAAAAGTAGTAATAATATTCAATTTTATATATACTATAGTATTGTAAAGAGTATCCAGAGTTTTACAAACAATAAAGAATGAATAATAATTCTTTATTATAATATTATTTAATTCTTGATAATCTTAATATATATGTATACTGCTGTTTAACTTAACAGCTAAAAGTAAGGGTACAATACTATGTAATCTTGATTCCTAAATAAAACCTTTATTAAGATTATTGTTAATCTACTTATATATAACTTCAAGCTTTAATAATAATAATAAACAGTTTTTAAAATATAATGATTCCTTTTTAGATATCAGTTTAATCTTATAATCTCATACTTAATGTAATAGAAAAGTATCTATATAATGTAAAAGAAATACGGGTAATTTGTCTTATAATTAAAAAAGAAGTTTTTATCGAATTTCTGTATTATTAAGTTTAGGTTTTTTAGTTAGAAATTTAGAAATATTTGTTTTTAAGACCTTGTATAAATAAGTCAACTTATAATAATTATAAACAAAATTATATAAATATAATAATAATTAAAATAGGATTTTAGTTAGATCTCCTTTATTAAACAGAATATCCCTATATTCTTTTTCATTAAAATAAACTATTTATAATAAAGTAATTAT